ACAAATGTAATTTTGTTGTATTATTCTATGATTCTATAACAGTCCTATTGAGTGACTAAATTATTATTTTTTTTTAAAGAAGTTATTATCCCCGGAAAAGCGATCTGCCAATCGACTAACAACCAGATTCCTACTTACTGCTAAACAGAGGCGTGTGGAGTAAGGAAACTTGTCCAACGTTTCACCGCGCCGGGAATCAAACCCAGGTCTTCTCGCTTGCGAGGCGAGTGCTCTAACCACTGAGCTACAGAACTCCACACAATGCTACAAGACTCCATTTTTAATGATGCATTAATTAACAAATTAACCTTGCAATGAAACATACCAAATGAAAGAAATACTGACCAAGAAAAATAACTACAATAATGTACTTACTGTTGGGGAGGAAAATATTAAGCAACAAGAAAAACAACTGGAAAAGCATGAAAATATGACAATCACCATTTAGATCCTGTCTATGGCTGGTGATTTACAGACATGAGGGGGCATCTCATACTGGTCTTGTGATTCATAATACTGACCAGATTCCTTTACTCTGTATTCCTCACAATACTAAAGTGCTTTCATTGGTCCAATAAACAGTGATATATGAAGATGTGAAATTAAGTATTATATTGTTTTCTAATGAAAATCCCTTTAGGGATAATGATCATGTGTACCATTTGAAGAGCAAGGCTCACAGCTTCATTTGTTATACTGAGCTCATCTCTACAGCCTATTCTAGGTCACTGCCACTTCACTGAAACCTTAGATATCCAGAGCCTGGACATCTCTCAGCCTTGTACAGTGACCAATGGCTTTATAACTCAAAAAGGAAGCGCTTCTGAGCACTGTTAACCTGTCAAACTGAAACATTGAAGCCTAAAAGCCTTTCACTGTGACACCCCAATCACACATAATAACTACTCTTCAAACACAATGCGAGTATAATTACGTGAGGAATCAATTAGGTAATAATAATAATAATAATGTGAGGCAAACAACAGTGCTGAAAAAATCACTAGAAAATAGTTAATTATATTAATGGAGTCAATTTGACATAGGTGTAGACTTATCCAATATAACTTTTTTGAGAATATTGTATTCATTTCTTAAAGGCCACATTTCTCGAATTCAGTTTTTGGACAAACCGTTTGTGACCGACCAGGCGATATTCCAGGTACATTAAACTAGCATCAACTTCTCCAAGATGATTTGCTTTGGTGAGGCATTCTATCTGAGTTACAGAACACCGAACTCTCACTGCATCATTTCTCTCATTAATAGAACAGGAATGATAGTTCAACATTCTCCATCTTGTGAATGATTTATTTCAAATGAAGCAACGCAGGAAGGTTTTAAGTGAAACCTTAAATTTTCGTCAAAGGAAAAGGAAGGAGAAAAACAATTAAGTGGGTCATCCTGGGACATTGTCAGTCGCCTTGCAGAGACATTGAGCTCAGAAGATAGAGGCAGAGGCAGAGTAGCTTCTGAGTCGCTCTCTCCTGGACAAGGACTGCACATATCAAGGGTGAAGTGTTTGTACCACATAAATAAGGATAGAATGAGGAAAAAAAATATTTGGTTAATCAAGCCTGCTTCTGCCACAATGTCTACCGTGGAGAAAAGGTCTGCTTTTGGGAATTTCCTGATCTTCAAACAAACCGAGAAATGGTACAGTAAGCATTGATGCACGTACACATCAACTTACACTTTCTTTTACACATTTGTGAGAACAGATAGAGTAGAACTTCTGAACTTATCATATGGTTTCTAAATATAACCTATATGAATCCACATATGAGATTCACCCAACTTGTACACTATAATCCATAGTTGAAACCTATTTAAACCATCAAATGATATTACTATCATATCTCTCCTAGTAAAATGGAGATTGCTCAAAGAGGTTTTATAATAAATACACCATGCTGATTTTTTAAGAGAGAATTGCAGTAAACAATTGTTAAAAAACAATATCAATAATGATTGGATCATCATTCACATATTAGACTTGTTTGACTAAACAGCATCGTGGCCAATCATTTATAATAAACTCATTACAAAGAACGGCATTAAGACTTTGGTGTTAACAGGCAACCAAAGCAAACCATATTTTTGGCTATAAAACTAATGATTTGCTCTGTGTTTGTGTGTGTGTGTGTTTGTGTATGTAGATAGAGGAAGCGAGATTTGACTTTTTCCCCTTGATAATAAAAGTTACCTATGGCATATATTTAAATGAGTACTAAAATAGAAGGTTAAAATGTGCAATCTGTGCACTAGAAAGATTGAGATACAAAGATGAATTTAATTCTTAATCTAATAGCTTCACATATGACAGGTTTAAGTTTCATAACTGCAGGCAAAGTGGTTAATGAATCATTTAAAATTACCCTTAAAGCTTAGCATTACAATTCCAGATATTGGATAAGATATAATTTTTTAAATGTATGCAATTATTCCAACAGCAAGTTTACTTTGCATACTTTTCTCCTTAATTTTTAATAGGATCATTTTGTACTTATCCTTCAATGTAACAGAGAATCTGAATCTCACAGAATATGTCATGTAAGATTTCAATAGAATTGTCCCACCCATTTATAGCATCCAGGTACGTATGAAAAACGATCTGTTGCCAGTTCGACGAGTTGATGACTATTGGAGATAACCCACAAGTAATTCCTAATTAAAGAAAATTATTAAAACATGTAGTGCTTTTTCATAAGTTTTCGAATGAAATGTATTTTAAAGCAGATAGTTGCAATTTACAGTATTTAGTATTTGAGAACATTAAATAAAGTAAATGATATAACAATATAACTTTCGGTCTTTTATTGTCTACAGAATACTGAAAAGCAACAATACTCTTTTGTATTTTTTCCAATTTGATGTTGCGATATTGGATAATCAATAGAAGCAAAACTATTCTGAAGTTGCTAAGCAATAGAAAGCATGTGGGTATTCTCAAAGGTGGAAAAGGTTAGGTGTAAAAAATGTGAAACATTGATTTAAAAAAATGTATTCAATCTGCCAGAAGTGTTTGTTATTTTAATCACAATAGTTATATGATTTACGCAGGTACGGTTGTGGTTTGCGATATCAAAGACATACATATACTTTTTGCTGGCCAAAGATTTTTTTTACATTCCTACTTGCAATACAAAATTATTTCATAAAGTATAAATGTTTAAATCCTTTATCTTGTGGCTGATCCTAAATCACTTTTCTAAAAATTAAACAGGAACTAGTTTATTTGAAATATCTAAAAATCCATTAATTGTAATTGTAAGTCTTACTTAATCTATCTCAAGAGCAGGGCGAGTGAAGATGGGCTAAATGCTTTTGACCCGCTTTCATCTGTCAGCATTGTAATTAAGTCAAATCCCTGGCATGTACCTCGGGTGATTTTCACATAGGGAATGGTGACTTGATTTCTTTTTCGTTACCTGGCTTTCTCTGCTATAAGCATTGTTGTATTGTGACCAGTGCTGCCGCACCATTTCACTACGTCCTGGCTGGGAGTCAGTGGTTAGTTCTGTTGATGGCAAGTGATAGACTACAGCTTGGTGGCCCTTATTTGAGAAAGGTCTGCAGGCCAAGTCCAGTCTGGGCCAACATTTCCACCATTTCAACCTCCGCTCCCTCCCTCCTTGGTGAATGTTCTCCCAGAGCACAGCGGCAGGGGTTGGCGATTGGGAGGACACAGTGCGCAGAGTGAAAATAATACTGACCGTTACTGCAATCTTATAGGAAAGCAAGAGCGTCTCTTACCAACTGTGTCCTTAGCTACCCCCGGCTTCTGCCACTGCAGATACTGATTTCCACGTGGCTGATTGGGAGAGAGAGGGGACCTATTGTACTGCTGGACCACGCTGGTCTAAAGTACTAGAGATGATCTGGACTAAGCCCGGACTTGGTTCCGACCTCCTAACCCCTTACCATCCTGTTCGCTCCCTCCGCTCAGCGGGCTCCAGCCTGCTTCATGTCCCTCATATTGTTCGCCCCTCTATCAGTGGGCGGGCCTTCCGCCGCTCTGCCCCCATCCTCTGGAACTCCATCCCGCAGTCCCTCCACCTCACCCACTCCCTTGCTACCTTCAAGACCCACCTCTTCGACCGTTCTTTCGATCTCCCTGCTTCCCCATTTGCCCTCCCCCCTCTCCCACCCCGATCCTCAGCTCGGGTCCATAGCTCTGTCTGTCCAGCGCCTTGGGACGTTCTCCCAACATGAAAGGCGCTATACAAATGTAATTTTGTTGTTGTTATTGTTGTTGTTGGCAATATGTGAATTCCAGGCAGTTTCTCTTTTTGGACACCATTTTAATTAGTTCTTCCTAATAGTCAAATTGTGTATTTCCTTTAAACACCAAATTGCTGAGTGACGCTATAAACAGCTGTGAAGAATGTGGAGGGATCACCGTGGTCTCTGAGCCAGTTCTCATAATGGAATTGGAAGGCATTGTTCAAGGCCATATCAATGAGACAACTGGATAATTAAGGAAGAATCCTAAGAACTGAAATAGTTGAGGTGCTGGCTAATATTTTTATGAGCTCCATAAACACAGAAGACTGAAGGAGAGCAAATGTTATGTAGTTATTCAAAAAAAGTTATTCAAAAAACTGAGACACATGCCTGAAAAGTGCAGAACACTCAAACTAAAAATATTCTCCTAGTGGGGCGATAAGCAGGATTTCTGTAGAACTGAACAAGCTCCGAGGAGATATGTCAGACAATTTCACAGTAATCTAAGACATTGGTGATGGTATAGACATGCCCTAAACTCTGCATGCCAAAGTCCTAGCAAATAGGGCAGTTTTCCAAACATACAGTGCTGAATATAGATTGAACATTTCAAAACACAACAATTTATGTCAACTGCTTAATGTCAATATTTTTTGCGAAAGTATATTCATACATTCCAAGACACAGTGTAAATTAGATGAGGAGCGTAAGAAGTCCCTTATATTTGAATGTCTAGATTGCTGCGAAAGACTTTCATACATAAGCAAACTGCTTACCATACTGACACCCAGCATTTCTCGCCTAACGTAATCCAGATTTCTCTTCTCCATGTTGTCCAGGTAACGTTGCAGTTGGGTGTAGGTGTAAGGGTAGCAGTAAGCAAACTGGTACACTTCATTTTCCCGATCAAAGCAAAAGGCAAATGACATAACGTAATTTTTCCGATGATCTGGGCAGCGGTAATAATACACATTTTTTGATGGAAGTCGTTGCCTGCCAAATAACAACATTTAAAATGTAAACAGCTGGATATTCATAAAAAAAATTAAAAAAAACTTAACTAGAACTAAACTACATTGTTGGGACCAAAATTCTCCCCCATTTGATATGTGAAGGGGAAGAATTCTGCACAAAAAGACTCATTTGTGCGTCCACAAATTCCTGTTTTATTCTCTTCTGAAACTCATTTCAGGAGGGAGCACATCAAATGACCCTTTGAAGTCTTTGCAGAGATAGCAAGTCCTTCAGGCTTTTCCTGAGTATCTGTGATATTCAAAAATAGGTTTAGCAGATATAACTTAACTTCACTAAATCTATGTTGATCAAATGCAAGGATTATTATATCATTATTAACATGCTATGCTCAGTCAGTTATCAATTGCATTCATATATTTCCAGGATTTCGCTTTTATTTGTGCTTAAAAACAAGTGCTGTATATTTGGATAATCCCTTGTATCCCCTAGGGCAAAAATCTTCCCAATTTAGGACAATGGTAGAGGATTCCACCCTCTGTGAGTTATTTCCCAACACACTCAATAACACACTCCTTTTAGTGTCCCTTCTGCCTTACTTTATATTTCACTCCAAATAGATGTTCTAGATATTGGGATGGAGAGTTTGTAATACATGCAGTTTTTCATTCTAAATACCAATCAAAATATCTCAATATTTCAGTCATACCCTGGTTTACTTTCCTTTTTTATATTAAAAATTGTCATGTTAACATGTTCAAATATATGGAGCACCACATGTGTGTCGACTGTAGTGTCAAAATCAGGAGACAACTGCAATTTCTGGCCATGCCAATTGTAATCATGACATTGAATATTACTTATAATAATAATCCTTGTACTTGATATAGTACCTTATCACTTCTTTGAGATGTCTCAAAGCGCTTCACAGAATATAATGTAAAGTGTATTTTGTGAGGGAAACATGGTAGCCAATTACGCACAGCAGTGTCCCACAAACAGTTGTAGATTGAGTGACTGTATTATTATTTTTTTGAAGGGATTATTTTCATTTTTGAGGATGGTCAACACATCTAGCATTTCCTACTCTATAAATAAAAAGTATTCAAGCTTAAATGACAAGTTATGCCTATTTTTAAGTTATGTTCAATAGTAGCTGATAAGCATCCACATAGTGACTCCATATATTTATATGCACAGATAATATAATGTATAATAAGGCATTGATTAATGCTGAAGTAAAATGTCACAGGCACTGGCAGTTCTCTGGCACATTCGTCATGCGTAAGCCTAGAGAGTGGTTGTCAGCAGTCAATTTGACCATGGGGGCACTTACAGCCAAGTCTGAACTCGTCCTCATCCACTATGCACAATTCTGAGCATGGGTCAGTAAATAGCAATCAAGAATAGAAAGCCTGGATAATGTTTCCCATACCTCGCCCACAGATACTGAAGTCAATTGCAGCACCCTGCTGCCATCCTGGCACAGACCAGCTGTACAGTACAGATGAAGATTAATTTGTCACTTCAGTAACAGATTTCTTCCGATCAGATCTTCCTCCTCTCCAGTGCTCAGTGGCACAAAGGACAATGAATGCATTTACCATTAGTGGAGTTATGCCTGTTATGTTATTCCTTTTTAAGGTCACTTTCCCATATTTCTTTTAAGTTCCCCCCCCCCCCCCCATTACATAATGCTCCACAACTGAAAGAACAGACAGGACTCCTCTCTTCCTATTTTACTCTGAATACAACAGTAAACGTGCCTATCCTAATTTTCCCTGCAGCTAGTTGGGAAGGAACTACACTCATTCCCCCTGTGTGGCACAATCAGTCATGAACTTGTTGAGTGAGGAATCATGGACACAACATTTCAGATGGTACTCTTGGCCCAACAAGTGGGAGAATCAATGCTCAGACAATGATGCAGCATCACAATCTGCCTATTGATGAGACAAGCTGATGAGAAAGCTTAAAAGTCATTGAGGTAGCTGACATACATGCATTTACTGATGTATAAATAGGATACATTTCTTAGCATATCAATCTTTGAAAGAATCAACCGTAAGATTAAATCATTTTAGGAGTCCTGTAGCTCAGTGGTTAGAGCACTCGCTTTGCAAGTGAGAGACCTGAGTTCAATTCCAGGCAGAGGGCGAAACCTTGGGCAAGTTTCCTTACTCCACACAGAGCCTAATAATAATCCCTCCAAAACAAAAAACAATAATAAATTGGTCATTTTCAATCTATGACTGTTTGTGGGACATTGCTGTGCGCAATTGGCTGCCGCGTTCGCCCACAAATACAGTCAATTCACTTTACAGTGTGTTCTGTGAAGCGCTTTGGGACGTCCTCCCGATGTGAAAAGCGCTATATCAAATGCAAAAATTATTATTATTATTATTTTTGTTGCTTAGTTAAATTCTAATAAGGCCTTTTTTAAGATTCTGGTTGTTAAGTCGGCATATAGGAAAAGTACAAATTTATTTTACTGGTTTTTAAAAGCAGGTAGTTCAGAAATATTGAAACATTATCATATTTCGTATTTTAAAGGAAGTTTTATGTTGGTTTTACAGAATAATAATAATAATTTGATAATATTGCATTTGATATTGCGCTTTTCACGTCTTCTCGATGTCTCAAAGCGCTTCACAGAATAGTAAAAGTGAAAAGTTAATTGACTGTATATTTGTGGGCAAAACGCAGCAGCCAATTGCACACAGCAGTGTCCCACAAACAGTCGTGGATTGAGTGACCAAATGATTATTATTTTTTTCTTGAGGGATTAGTATTAGGCGTGTGGAGTAAGGAAACTTGCCCAAGGTTTCCCTGCTGGGAATCGAACCCAGGTCTCTCGCTTGCAAGGCGAGTGCTCTAACCACTGAGCTACAGGACTCCATAATGACAGCATCTCATGCTGCTATATTAGGTTTGCGTGCTGGTTTCAAACTTTGTCCAAACAGCAAAATTATGAAAGTACTGCACATTCTATGATTTTTCTCTTAATAACATACTTGGACTCTTTTCTCTTGAAAAGAGGAGGGTAAAGGGTGACCTGATAGAGGTCTTTAGAAGGATGAAAGGTTTTGATAGGGTAGCCATAGGAAAGATATTTCCACTTGTGGGGGAGACCAAAACCAGGGCCATCAATATAAAATAGTCACGAGTAGATCAAATAGGGAAGTTAGAAGAAATTTCTTCACACAGAGAGCAGTGGGAATGCGGAACAAGATGTTGTTAAGGCAAGTAGCACAGATATATTTAAGGGGAAGTTAATTATGTACATGAGGGAGAACGGAATAGAAGGTTATGCTTGAAGGCTTAGTTGAGGAAGGGCAGGAGGAGGCTCATGTGGAACATAAACATCGGCATAGACCAGTTGGGATGAATGACCTGTTTCTGTGCTGTATATTCTAATGTATCTAATGTAACAATAACAAAATAATATTTGCATATCACCTTTCCATGTCGGGAGGACGTCGCAAGGCGCTTGACAGTCAATGTGTCAGGCCCGAGCTGGGGGTCGGGATTGGGGAGAGTGGAGGACAGTGGGGGAAGCAGGGTTGAAGAGGAGGGTTTTGAGATGGGTCTTGAAGGACAAAGGAAGGGGTGAGGCGGAGGGACTGCGGGATGGAAATCCAGAGGGTGAGGTCAGAGTGGCAGAAGGTGAGGCGGGGGACGAGAAGCAGGCCGGAACCCGCTGAGTGGAGGAGAGGGCAGGATGGTAGAGGTTTAGGAGGTCACAGAAGTAGGGCAGAGCAAGGCCATGGAGGGCTTTGAAGGTGAGTTCTCGATGATCTGCAGCCTATGGAGGGAAGAGTTGGGGAGGCTGTAAAGCCTGGATGTCATGAAGGCATGTGTGAGGGTCTCGGGGGCCTGCGGTGTGAGACAGTGGCAGAGCCGGGCAACGTTGGGGAGGTGGGGAAGGCAGAACGGGTCATGCAGGGGTGTGGGGTAGAAAGGATAATTGTGGGTCAAACAAGACCCCAAGGTTCCGGACTGGCTCAGTGATGGGGAGGGCGCAACCATGGATGGTGATGCTGTCAGCGCCTGAGGTGAGGAGGTGCTGACGGGAGCCAATCGGGAACTCGGTCTTGTTGGCGTTCAACTGAAGAAAGTTAGCTCTCATCCAGGACTTGTGTCTGACAGTATTGCTCACTGTAAAAAAAAACTGTTAAAAAAGTCCTTCCCAAATAAATATTAAATACATTTTTCAAAGAAATATAAAAGAAAGTTCAACAAACAAATTTAGGCGAGGTTTTTAATACAAATACAAAATAATTAGTAAAGAGCAAATGCTGTGTATATCCACAGGGTCTCTCTGGAACTCCAGTGAGTTGCTGATGGAATCTTATTGCTCCGGTGCCGGGCAGTAGATTGGCATCGGAGAGAAGTTCCACAATCGTTTTTTTTCAAATCCTTATGGGAATCTCACAATTTAAATCCCTCTGGTTTAACTGTCTATCCCTAAGGCCAAGGGGGTCAAACTTTTGGCTGCCGAGGGCCAGATTCCCTATTTGAGAAATATTCACGGGCCACACAAACAATATTTTGTGTTTCTCTTCCAGAAACATAACAACACTGACACATCACCTTTTTCGTGTTGGAACGACATCTTGACATTGTCAGCTGGGCACCTGAGCTGGGGGTGGGAGCTGAGGGGGATGGGGAGGGGAGAAGATGACCGAAAATATGGTCAAAGAGTTCGGTCTTGATGTGCTTTGAAAGAGGGAGGGAGGGAGGGAGCGAGGGAGGGAGTCAGTCAGAGGGACACCAGGAATGAGCTCCAGAGTTGAGCAAAATGGCGATGGTGGGGCAGATGGGGTGGGGGGCATGAAGCAAGCTGGTGTTTGCTGGGCAAAGGGAACAGCCGGGTCGGGAGGTCAGAGGTGGTGGGGGAGCTGCTGGGGAGAGGGAATGAAGGACTTGGGAGGTTTTCACTGGGGAAACAAGGAGCTTTCTATATAATAATAATCCTTGCATTTGATATAGCCCCTTACCACATCTTCGAGACGTCTCAA